TATCACAAAAAAAGTTAATAAATATACAAAAAGATATAATAACATTACCTAATAATCCGGTTTGTGATAAAAGAGGGTCTAAAACAGTGAAAAAAATTAATGACAATATATGGCAACATTTGAGAGAGTTATTACAAACCTATTGAATGATTCGTTTTGAACACAATTTGATACCAATTTATGGCAATTTTTAGGACAACATTCGTTAACAAATTGATAGGTTTTGCCCTTTTGTTCAATGCCTTTGGCATCAATATATTTATTATACTATTATTAAATAAACATTAAATTAAACAAATATAATATTTTATTAATAAATAAATACCGAATTTTTTAAAAATTTTCTTTGATGTTTTCCCCAAAGGGTTTCGTGTTTTTTCGTTTAATACCTTTTTCTTTCGACTTTTCATTAATTTCATTAGCGATTACTAAAACTGGTGTTAATTGTGTCAAACTTTCATTTGAATGTTTTTTCACTTTATTATAAAACATTTGATTTGATTCCATAATTAAATATTTATTTATGTTTTTGTTTACACAAAAAAAAAAGATTTTTGTTTTTTATATTGCAGTGCATAAACATATTAGTATATTATGCCATTAATATACTATTCATCATGGTACAAATTACCATGAAAACTGACTATTTTTATGAATCACTTACGTCTCTACTGTTTCTGATAATTCATATATCATAATATTATGTTATAACATTTATATAAAACTATTGTGTTAAATATTATGTTTTTAAATTTGTTACTTGTAAAGTACTTTATATTAAATATATGTTGAATAATCGCTGATTTTATTTATACTATTTACTAGATTGGTACTTGCCCTGATACTTTTGTCCGGGTACTTTTGCCCGAGTACTTTTGTCCGGGCACTTATAATCCTATTCATTGCCTGCCATTAGTTTATACAACAAATGTTTGTAACCCAAGTATGAATGGGTTTATTGTCCATACGTTTAACATTGGTATGAATGGTGAGGCCATTGGATGAACACACCTGTGCTCTACCACTCAATCCAATACTAATTCCTAACCCTTTGTGTATTATATTCTCATAAACCTATTGCTTAAAAAATTCAAGTTTTGAACATTTATTTTAATATTAAATGTGTGTTAATTTGAATTAAAATATATTTAAAAATATTCAATATTGACTTTTGTCAATTTAAAGCCATACAATGAATAATCAACTTTTCATATGCTTAATATAACTTTTTGAAATAAAAATAATTATGTTTTATATAAACAACTATTTATATAATTAATGTTTGCATTCAATCCATTGTCTCTAATCAATAGGAATTTTTACATTTATTTATTTATCGTTTCATTCCTTCTCTTTCTATCCGTTATATTCATTGCTTCTTCTGTTAATCAAAAGGCAAAACATTTATACAAATTATTTAATAATTACTTTTATTAATTTAGTTAAACTTTATTTAATATTTCAATTAATTAATACAGCATTTAAGTTAAATTTGGATACGTTTTTAATTAAAACAATTAATAATAATGAACATATAATTAATAAATATTATTAATTTCTAATAATTATAATTAAGAAAATTATTTTTCAGTTGAATATAAGTCTTTCCTTGAGATTTGATTTCTATATACTTTAATCTATGATTTGTGGTAAACATTGACTTCAAATTCCTTTCACTTACAGGTATTTCAGGCATTGATTGTAATATAAATGTTTTCAGTTTTTGTAATCTTGTAATGAATACCAAATTAATATTATTAAAAGAAAACCCACGATTATAATAGTTCAAATTATCAAAAATATTTAAATATCTGACGTTAGGAAACATTATGGTAATTTTTTCAAATAATTCATTGTCATAATGCCATAAATCCAGTGATAAATGTGTTAATTGTGGCAAACATTGCATTGAATCTAATGTTCGCCAATCAGTCGTATCGTAATAAGAGCTGATATAAAAACGTAAATCCAAACGTTTAAAATGTTGAAAATATTTCAACGCATTCATAGCCTCTATGTTTAGTATCAGTTTATCTGAAAATAAAGTCATTGAAAATAGTTTTAATTTTACTAAATGTTCGCCAATTCTGCGCAACGAATCGCTTAAAGAATTGTAAAGGATTTTATAATCATATTCTTGGTTGGGGTCAAAATAATGACCATCATTGTCGTCGTAATTACCACAAAAATTTAACCGCAATTTTCTTATATCGGATAATACTGTCAATTGATTAATGAATTCAGTGATTTCATCCTCTTTCACATCATTTACATAAATCTTAGTTACAATCAGACTTTGCAAACGCTTCATATTTGACACAAATGTTGCAAATAATTTGTTGTCATAATTGATTTTGCAGTTAAACTCAAAATGTATTACATTTCTGATTATTGCCAATAATTGATTGTTTGAATCAAAACAATGTTTCAATTGATCTATTTTTAAATAAGTTAATTGTTGGCAATTCAAGAGTACTTTGGGACCAAAATTGTTATCATTAGCATTAATATCAAAGGATTCATAAAATACATTCAAACTTGTAATCAATGGACAAAACATTTGCCAATTATTGTCATCATTGCCTATACTTAAGTAAATGTGTTTAAGTTGTGGCCAATTGTTTCGCAATTCATATAATGCCAAATAAAATTGCATTAAATTGTTTTCTTCGAGAATTTCAGTTGTGTCGACACGTGTTATATTCGGACACTTTTTCATCAATTTTAATAAATTTCTTGAAGTGAAATATTTTTTGCCAAAAATATTTTGTTGACATAATAATGATAACAAATGTTTGTCGACATCGATGTCTGTAAGTGTTGTGTAAACCAATGTCTGGAACCGTTTGGACAGACATTCAAATGGGAACCGATCTTCGAGTGGGAGATAACTGACCATCACTTCAACCAAATCNTTGTGTAAACCAATGTCTGGAACCGTTTGGACAGACATTCAAATGGGAACCGATCTTCGAGTGGGAGATAACTGACCATCACTTCAACCAAATCGTCGCCAAACCTCTCAAACGAGTCTTTCGTATCAAATATTTCACACATTTTTCAATCACTTCTTAACACAAAGTGTTTCTAACATTAAATGCATTGATATATAAATCTCTATTTTTTTATACTAATAATTTATTAGTAATAAAGTACAAATTAAATACAAAATACTAATTAATGAGTAATTTATGAGATGTTTATCAAAATTTCCAAATAAACTCCAGGAAAATATTTAATATTGAATTGAATGATTTTATCCATTCAAAGCCATAAAATGGAAAATTTACTTTTCATATGATTTTTATAACATTTTGCAAAAAAAACAAATGTTTTAAAATCAATTATTTTTTAACTAAATTAAATTTTTCATTTTAAATATTAATATAATAAATATTTGCATACAAACTCAAATGAATAGGATTTTATAGATTTATATGTTTGTTATTTAAGTCAATCATTGCCTCTTCTGTTAATCAAAAGGAAAATATTTGTAGAAATTATTTAAGCATTTTTTCATTAAATAAATTTTATTAAATTTTCAAATTAATTAATACAGGATTTAAGTCGAATTTAAATTCGTTTGTAATTAAAGCAATTATAATCAATAAATATTTTTAATTTTTAATAATTATATTTGAAAAAAATATTTTTCAGTTGAATATAAGTCTTTCCTTGAGTTGTGATATGAATGGACTCTAATCTATGATTTGTGGCAAACATTGCCTTCAAATCCCATTTATTAATACGTATTTCAGGCAATGAATGCAATATAAATGCCTTCACTTTTTGTGATCGTGTAATTGAAACCGAATTATTATTATTAAAATAATACCAATGTTTATAAGAGTTATCAAAAATATTAATATATCTGAGATTAGGAAAAATAATAGTAATTTGTTTAAACAACTCGTTATAATGCCATAAATCTAGTGATAAATGTGTTAATTGTGGCAAACATTGCGTTGAATCCAATGCTCGCCAATCAGTTGTATCGTCAGAACTGATCCGAAGAAATAAATTCAAACGTTTTAAATGTTGAAAATATTTCAACGCATTCATAGCCTCTATGTTTAGTATCGGTGTCTTTGAACATAGTCTTAATGATAATCGTTTCAATTTAATCAAATTTTGGCCAATTTTGCGCAATGAATGGTTCAAACAAATTTGAAAACTTCTAATAGCAATCTCTTCACCCTCAATTGAATAATGTTGATAATGGTAGTAATCACCATGGAAATTTAACCGCAATTCCCTCAAATCGGATAATACAGTCAAATGAGCCATTAATTCAATGATTTCTTCCTCTTTCATATAACTCGTATAAACTTCAGTTACGGCCAGACTTCGCAATTGTTTCATATTTGCCACAAATATTTGCAACAATTGGTTATTGTAATTGAATTTGCATTCAAACTTAAATTTAGTTACATTTCTAATTATTGCCAATAATTGATTGTTTGAATCAAAACAGTGTTTCAATTGATGTATCTCTAAATGAGATAATTGTTGGCAATGAATGAGTTCGTTGGGATCGAAATAATCGTCATTGTAACCATCATCAAATTGTTTGTATGAAACATCCAAACGTGTAATCAATGGACCAAACATTGCAAACAAACAATTTTGCCACTTGTATTCATCGGCTTCTATACATACGTAAATGTGTTTAAGTTGTGGCCAATTGTCTCGTAATTCATTTAATGCCAAATAAAATGACATTGAATTGTACTTTTCAAGTTTTGTTGTGTCAATACGTGTTATATTCGGACACTTTTTCATCAATTTTGACAAATTTTCTGAATCAAAATATTTTTGATTTTTATGAACATTTTTGAAATAGTTTGCTGTAAAACATAATAAATACAAAAACTTGTCGTCGACATCGATGTCCGTAAGTCTTGAGAAAAGCAATGTCTGGAACCGTTTGGACAGACATTCAAATGGGAACCGATCTTCGAGTGGGAGATAACTGACCATCACTTCAACCAAATCGTCGCCAAACCTCTCAAACGAGTCTTTCGTATCAAATATTTCA